CAAGGCTGTCAGTCTTCACAGAAGCAAAGCCCAAACCACACCCACTGCCGTGGAGTCCATTCTGACCCACAGCGCCCCTAGAGGACAGAGTGAAAGTGTCCCACAGGGTTTCCAAGGCTGCCATCTCTATGGAAGCAGGCTGCCTCATCTTTCTCCCATGGAGTAGCTGGCAGATTCTAACTTCTGACATTCTGGTTAAAGAGAATCACCCAGAGATATGTTAACAGCCAAAGTGTTAATAACAGATCTAATCACAATTTCTTGTAGTAAACTGGCTCCTGTGGTACCTTCAAAGCTGCCTCTGGGATCCAGAAACCATGACCCCAGATTATCACCCATGAGTCAGAAACTGGACAGCTGTGTGCCCGGCAGGGGGCCACCTCCGGATGCCAGTGGCCCAACAGTTCTCCCCTGTGGACGACCTCATGAAGGGTTAGGTGGTAACGACAGAGAGCTTCATTCATCTGAGGCACACCGTGTCTGGCTACTTCAGAGGTGAACTTCATCACCTCCAAAGGCCGACATGGCCACTTGCCCTTAACCGATGACCTTGCTGCTCCCTGAGGGTACAGGATGTGGCGAGCAGGGACTTGGAGAGACAGGGGTAAAGCCTGGATGCAGACAGAGGCCAGCAGAGACTGGGACTCGAGGGACAGGCACGGGACCCGAATGCACAGGGAAACGTGAAATCTCCCCTTTCTCCTCTCTTGTCCTCCACATTCTGTCCGCTGCCCAGGGTCACAGTCAATGCCACTGCCCTGGCACTGGTTACGTCAGCAAAGCTGGGGCCTCCGGTTGCCTGAACTACTAGGAAAGGGAACATTCCTTTCTGCTCAGAGGAGCCGGGGGTCCCAAGAGAGTGGCATGGAGTACGTGGCTCTTTTTCCTTTCTCCATCACACCAGTGCTTGGCCAGAGACCATAAATGGATCCACGTATATATAAATGGTCAGTGGATTTTTGACCAAGTTATAAAGCAAATCCAATGGAGGAGGGTAGTCTTTGTAATAAACGATGGTCGAACAATCGGTCCTCTAGACGCAAAAAATAAACCATGACCTGAGCCTCACATCTTCTATAACCCTATCATAGACCAAGATATGAAATGTAAAACTAGAAAAGATTTAGAAGAAAATAGATGAAAAATTCTTAGAGGTGATTCCAAAACACACAGCTTTACAGCACAAGGAAATTATAGACATGGCTTTGTCAAAAGTGAAAACATTTGCACTGCAAAAGGTACTACTAAGAAAATGAAAAGACATCAAAATTCAGGAAGAGAAAAGGAAGGAGAATGAAGGCAAACAGGAAACGAGGGAAGAAGTGGGACTAGAGCTGTTACATTCATTGTGGGGATTGCAATCAATGTTGTGATCAAAACGTGTATGAATTGTTGAAGAGAAAACCAATGTGCTCTGTAAACTTTCACCCAAATTGCAATAAAAAGTCAAAAAAAAAGAAAATGAGGAGACAAAAACATGTACTTTGAAAATGCATTGTCATCAAGTAGATTCTGACTCACAGTGACCCTACAGGACAGAGGACAACTGCCCTGTAGGGTTTTCAAAGCTGTAAATCCTTATGGAAGCAGATTGCCTTATCTTTTTCCCATGGAGCAGCTGGTGGGTTCAAACTGCCAAAATTTCAGTTAGCAGCTGAATGCTTAAACCACTGTATAACCAGGGTCCTCAAAGTATACACTAGGAAAAAACATTTGCAAATCACTTTTCTGACACTTAGATCCTGAATATATGAAGAACTGTCGAAATTCAACAGGAAGAAACCAAACAACTCAATTTAAAAATGGGCAAAAGACTCAAACAGATACTTCTCCAAAGAGTGCGTTGTTGTTGTTGTTGTTATGTGCCGTCGAGTCAGACCCAACTCATAGAGACCCCTCCTTGGGTTTCTGAGGCGGTATCACTACGGAAGTACATTGCCCAACCTTCCTTCCGAGGAGTGGCTGGTGGGTTTGAACCGCCGGCCTTCTGGTTAGCTGTCAAGTGCCGTAGGCACTACACTACCAGAGCTCCTAAACAGGGCATAATGGATGGCAAATAAGCACATAGAAAGCTGTGCAACATCATCACCATTAGGGAGGCAAATTAAAACTGTAACATGATCCGGCTACACCCTTATTAGAACGATCAGAATTTTAAAATGCTGACAATACCACATCCTGGTAGGAACCATCAGGCAACTAGAACTTTGATCCAACACTGGTGGGGAGGCAACATGGTGCAACCACTCTGAAAAACACTCTGTCGGTTTCTTAGGAAACTCAATGCAGACTTACCCCATGACCCAGCAATGCATTCCCAGGCGCTGGCCCTAGAGAAACCGAAGCTTAGGCAGAAGCTTGTCATCATGTGTATTGCAGCTCTGTTCATTATCCTCACAAACAGGAAGCCCGCCTGAGGCTCTTCCATAGGTAACAGGTAACAACCCAGGAAGCCCCCAGAGGTTGCCTCCTTGGCAACCAAAAGGAACCAACTGCTGACATGCACAACAGCTTGGCTCAATTTCAAAGACAGTGTGTTGAGTCCAGTTGCAACACAGCCAGTTGCTTTAAGTTGCATATTGTAGACTCCTCTGATAAGATACTCTTGAAAATACAAAACTATAGTGATCAGTGGCTACCATAGGGTAAGGTATGTGACTACAAAGGGGTGGGTTATCAGGGAGATTTGAGGATAATGGGACTTTTCCGTATCCTGATGATGGTGGCCATTAATAAATCTATAAAATAAAATAAAACAACACCAGCTGCCGTGGAGTCGAGTCTGGTTCATGGTGCCCCATGTGCATCAGAAGAGAACTGCACCCCACGGTGGGGGGGGGGTGTTCAACGGCTGATTTTTCATAAGGAGATTGCCAGGTTTTCCTTCTAAGACATAAATCTACACGTGGGATAAAACTCGCTGCACTCCTAAAACCCTACATCTAAAAAAGTCAATTTCACTGTATGTTAAATATTATTAAAAACAAATAATAAATAAAAA